GCCTCCTGGGTTCAGGCAATTCTCCTGCCTCAGCCTCCTGAGTAGCTGGGACTACAGGCACTCGCCACCATGCCCAGCTAATGTTTTGTAGTTGTAGTAGAGACGGGGTTTCACCATGTTGACCAGGATGGTGTCGATCTCTTGACCTCGTGATCCACCCGCCTTGGCCTCCCAAAGTGCTGGGATTACAGGCTTGAGCCACCGCGCCCGGCCATCCCACTATTAACAGGGGAGATAATAATTTTATCAGAAACTTACTAGGATCTGGATGAAACATCCAGAAGATGTTTGATTCTATATTCCCTTTTAAATTTGATTCTACATTTTAATAAACTTCTGAATCACAGACCTTAAGAATGCAACAAAGAGTCTTAAAATGTCTTCTATATTATTTGTCTTATGCTTAAAATTTTGCCATTGAAGCTTCATGCTACTGTTTATACTTTTTCCAAATTCCCCTGCTCCCAAATTTCTATTGGTCTTTTATAATTTGATGCAACACTTTCTTGTTGAACTGTGTCTTATTTGCCTAACTGCTACCCTTCACGAATATTCCTCACCGATAGACTCTACATCATTTCCATTCACTACCAAGTCTGAGCCAAGGGCTGTCATCTTTGCTGTCCTTTCTGGAGAGTGAGGCTTTGATGATAGCTATTTGCTGTATTCACTAACCTTTAAATCACATATCAAAACTTCTATACCACTGCCTCTATTTCGGTCCCATTTTCTAATTATGGAGCTCTTGAACTCCCATTTTCTTTTGAAAGAACTCCTTGTCCTGCTTCTTAATTTTCGATTCATTAGTACCAAAGAAGATAAGCATGCTGGATTTCTGAATCCCTAAGGCTGTGAATTGGGGTCTGAGTTAGGGTGGCCACAGTATAATTCTCTCAATAGACCTCTTATGGTCTGGGCATCCCAATAGACTTCGATAATCATTCACCATCTTACCTTTTGGTATTAAAGTCACAAAGAGGAGGAGAACAGAAATAAAGGAATGGAGTTTCATGGTTGAATACCCAACAGAGAGGTGAGTGATCAGGGCTAGTGGAACACAGGGGCTTTTATTTACTTCTGGGGGCCTGAGGTTCCTCTTAGTCAGTGAAGCTTAACAGCAAGGAAATAAAACAGCTTCCGTTGGAATATCTCCAAACCCTAGAGTCTCTAAATTTGGTGACAAATTAACCTAATTATAGGAAACCAGATGGGTAGCCCTTTCCTTTTTCTGTGGGCTCTCAATTTCATCACAGTTAATACCTTTAGTTAATTTTCTTTTTTGAATGGGGCCAAGAAGTAAGGTCATGTGAGTACAGAACATCCTTATTATAAAAGTTCTAGGGCTTGCAAAAAAACATTTCCATAATACACTTTTTTTTTTTTGCAAAAGGGACAAGAATATTATCTAAGGTTCATTTATGAGAAGCTATGTTTTTTAATTAAGTTATTCCTTAAAAGAGAGGCTATCACTTGTATACAGTGTTCTTAATCACATCTGAAAGGTGGATATGCTTCATTCAAATTGAAAACAAATAGTTTTTCATCATTATTGATCTTTTGTATAATTATCTCATACAACAGGTGAATAAGATCAGGAGAGTTGAAAGATAAAAGACAGAGTAAAGTGCACAGCTCCTGTCAAAAGACTCTGGCCCTAAAGAGACTCCCTAACCTTTCACCCTAACCAACCACATAGCAACAAAATGTTGAAAGCTTAAGAGCGTGCCTTTCATCAAGAATCAATTGACCAAAATCCAATTTACCCAAAACAAATTTACCTTCTGTTCAATTCCTTATTGGCATATTTCCCTGAATTGATATTTTTTTAAATTTGTAAACTTTCATATATGATGTAAGTCTTTTTTGAAAAATCTATATACATATATATGTAACTTATATAGCTTTTATTTGACTACTTTTGATCATTTTCATGGCATTTATGAGCATTCACCAATTTATCTATTTATTAATAATCTATTTTAACAATTTTATATTTGCAAAAATGTTGCAAAAGAGTAATATTCAAAATAATTTTTCTAAAGTAGAACAAAGCTGGAAAATTTAGACTACCTTGTTTCAAGACAAAGCTACATTAATCAAGACATTGTGATACTGGAATAAGGAGAGACATATAATTCAACAGAACATAATAGAGACTCAAGGATAAGACCATCATATGAATGGTTCACATATGGATAAGACTGTATATATTTACACATGGGCAACGATTTTGACAAAGGTGTTAAATAAAGTCTTTTTTTTGTTTATGCCCTCATTCTTGTTTACGTAATTCATTCAAGTGGTTCATGTGCAGGTCTGTCACATGGGTAAATTGTGTGTCATGGGGGTTAGGTGTACAGATAATTTTGTCACCCAGGTATTCAGCATATTACTCAATAGGTAGCTTTAATATCCTCACCTCCTCTCACCCTCCACCCTCAAGTACGCTTCAGTGTCTATTGTTCCTTTCTTTGTGTCCATGTGCACTCAGTGTTTAGCTTTCACTTTTAAGTAAGAAAATGTGGTATTTGGTTTTCTCTTTCTGTGTTTATTTGCTTAGAATAATGGCATCCAGTTGCATCCATGCAGTTGGAAAGGACACGATTTTGTTCTTTTTTACGGCTGCATGGTATTCCATGGCACATATGTACCACATTTTCGTTATCTAGTCCACTGTTCATGGGCATCTAAGTTGATTCCGTATCTTTATTGTTGAGAATATTGCTGCAATGAACATACACAGGTATCTATCTTTACGGTGCAATAATTTATATTACTTTTGATATGTACTAAATAATGGGATTGCTGCGTCAAATAATGCTTCTATTTTAAGTTCTTTGATAAATCTTGAGACTTCTTTCCACTGTAGTTGAACTAATTTATATTTCTACCAGCAGTATATAAGCATTCCCTTCTCTCCAAGGCCTCCCCAGGGTCTGTTAGTTTTTGACTTTCAAAAATAGCTATTCTGACTAGTGTGAGAGGGGATCTCATTGTGGTATTGATTTTCATTTCTCTAGTTATTAGTGATATTGGGCATTTAAAAAAATATGGTGGCTGTCTTTCTGTATGTCTGCTTTTGACAAGTGTCCACGTTTGCCAAATTTCTAAATAAAGGTTTTTGTTTTTGTTTGTTGATTTAAATTCCTTACAGATTCTGGATATTAGACTTTGGTCAGATGTGTAGTTTGCAAATATTTTCTCCCATTCTGTAGTTTGCTATTTACTCTGTTAAAAGTTATTTATTTATTTTCTCTGCAGAAGCGCTTTAGTTTAATTCAGCTCCACTTGTCAATTTTTGTTTTTGTTGCAATTGCTTTTGAAGACCTAGTCATGTATCATTTCCAAGGCCAGTGTTTAAAATGTGGTTCCTAGATTTTTCTCTAGAATTCTTATAGTTCAACGTCTTGCATTTAAATTTTTAATCTAACTTGAGTTAATTTTTTGTATATGGTGAAAGGTAGGCATTCAGTTTCATTCTACATATGGCTAGCTGGCTATCCCAGCACCATTTATTGAACAGGGAGTCCTTTCCCCATTGTTTATTTTTGTCAACTTTGTTAAAGAACAGATGGTTATAGGTGTGCAGCTTTATTTTTGTGTTACAGCAATCTTTATCTCTGGAATAGAGATTCTGTTCCAATGGTCCATGTGTCTGCTTTTGTACCAGTCTCATGCTGTTTTGGTTTCTGTAGCTTTGTCAGATAGTTTGAAGTTGGGTAGTGTAATGCCTCCAGTGTTGTTCTTTTTGCTAAGGATTACTTTCATTTGTCAGATTGTTTTTCTTTTTTTTGGCTTCACACAAATTTTAGAACAGTTTTTTCTAATTCTGTAAAAATTTCATTGATAGTTTGATAGGAATAGCATTGAATCTGTAAATTGCTTTGGGCAGTATGGCCATTTTAACAGTATTGATTCTTCTTATCTTTGAGCATGGAATGTTTTTTCATTTGTTTGTGTCATCTGATTGCTTTCAGCAGTGTTTTATAATTCTCACTTTAGAGATCTTTCATCCTCCTTGTTAACTGTATTCCTAGGTATTTTTAGTTTTTCTTGCAGCTATTATGAATAGGATTTTGTTCTTAGTGTGGCTCATAGCTTGGTGTATAGAAATGTTGCTGATTTTTTATACATTGATTTTACATCCTAAAATTTTACTAAAGTTGTTTATGAGATCTATGGCCTTTTGGCAGAGCCTATGGCATTTTCTACTTACAGAGTCATGTCACTTTTGAAGATAGATAGTTTGACTTCCTCTCTTTCTATTTGGATGCCTTTTATTTCTTTCTCATACCTGATTGCTCTGGCTAGGATTTCCAGTCTTTTCAACTAGGGGTTCTGGAGAAGTAGATACAAACAGAAGTCATATAACTTTCTATTATGTAGCCTGAGAAGTCAGAAAGCATCGTCTGTACTGTATTTATTAGTTAAAGCAGCTGCAAAGATTTGCCTCAGATCAGGCAGAGGGAACATAGACTTTACCTCTCAGTGAAGGAGCATCAATGTTACATTATAAAAAGTCCTTGAGGGATGGAATATATGTTTTTAGAAAACTATACTTTTTGAAAATGCACTTTTGAAAAATACAATGTGCCATCATAGCTTTAATTTTTTTCAATTTTAAAAATGTCAATTTTATATTGTTCAATCTATTATGATCTCGACTAAAATTACCAGAATTTAATTGTTCATCGTTTTCAATATTGGGAATTGTTGTGATTAATAAGTAATAATAATAGTATAATGAATACATTATATGCTACAAATAGTGTAATAAAAAGGTTGTGGTGTAGTGACATCAGCAAAAATGGAATAAAAATTTTCAAAATTTTTATCTTTATAAAATCTACTAAAAAACTGGTAATAACTGTCAAAGCTTTTTAGAACTCTGAAAACTAACCGTTTATAGACTTGCATATGTTGAACCAGCCTTGCATCCCCAGGATAAAGCCTACTTGATCATGGTTATGTCAATAGATGCAAAGAAGGCCTTTGACAAAATTCAAATTTTATGCCAAAAACCCACAATAAACTAGGTATTCACGGAATGTATCTCAAAATAATAAAAGCTATTTATGACAAACCCATAGCCAATATCATATTGAATGGGCAAAAACTGGAAACATTCCCTTTGAAATCTGGCACTAGACAAGGATGCCCTCTCTCACCACTCCTATTCAATATAGTATTGGAAGTTCTAGCCAGAGCAATCAGGCAAGAAAAAGAAATAAAGGGCATTCGATTAGGAAAGGAGGAAGTCAAATTGTCTCTATTTGCAGATGACATGATTGTATATTTACAAGACCCCATTGCTTCAGCCCAAAATCTCCTGAAACTGATAAGCAACTTCAGCAAACTCTCAGGATACAAAATCAATGTGCAAAAATCACAAGCATTCCTATACACCAATAACAGACTTAAAGAGAGCCAAATCAAGAAAAAACTACCATTCACAATTGCTACAAAGAGAATAAAAAACGTAGGAATACAACCAATAAAGAATGTAAAGGAACTCTTCAAGGAGAACTACAAACCACTGCTCAATGAAATAAGAGAGGACACAAACAAATGGAGAAATATTCCATGCTCATGGTTAGGAAGAATCAATATCGTGAAAATGGCCATACTGCCTAAAGTAATTTACAGATTCAATGCTATCCTCATCAAGCTACTAATGACCTTCTTCACAGAACTGGAAAAAACCACCCTAAACTTCATATGGAAACAAAAGACAGCCTGCATAGCCAAGTCAATTCTAAGCAAAAAGAACAAAGCCAGAGGCATCACACTAACTGACTTCAAACTATACTACAAGGCTACAGTAATCAAAACAGCATGGTACAGGTACAAAAACAGAGATATAGACCAATGGAACAGAACAGAGGCCTCGGAGGCAACGCCACACATCTAAAACCATCTGATCTTTGACAAACCTGACAAAAACAAGCAATGGGGAAGGGATTCCCTGTTTAATAAATGGTGTTGGGAAAACTGGCTAGCCATGTGCAGAAA